CTAAGACGGGGACGGGGGGGGGAGGCAGTGTGGCTGCACCAGCTTAAGGTTGCCAATGGGTGTTGAGCTGATCCCACTCCCTAAGGGTCGCCTAACAGAGCCACCAACAAAATGGTTTGCAAAGCACATCAGGTGGCACCAAAACCACTAAAGGATATTGGCTCCTTGAGGAAAAAAATACTACTGTATTTCATCCCTGGAACAGCAAAGTACTTTAAATTCCCTCAGCTACAAGTTGGGGACAAGAAGAATGTAACATGGGGTGTGGAACATGTTGCTGCTGTTCAAGGGTGGAAAGTCCCTATGTGGGGCAGGAATTGAGTGGCCCCTTTGCACCATGAAAGTTAATATTAGTTGTTAGTTGTTCTTGTCTTCTACACCTACCTTTTTGTCCCAAGGATCTCTCCCTCCATAATGGGAGGTGGGGTGGAGGTAGCATTCTCCTGGAAATTGCTTATAAACCCAAGCAACTATGTCTGATGTAAAGTTGAACTATTTTTACTCTAGCCTGTTCTTTAGTCTCACCAGACAAATGTTCATATAAGCAGTGGTAAGGATTGTACTACAGGTAGTCCTCATGTAGCAACCACATTTGGGACCAGCAACTCGTTCATTAAGCGAGGTGGTTGCTAAGTGAAACCACGACTGCACATACTATCTTACTTCAGCTTTCCCTTGCTTTACAGACCTGTGAGGATTAGTCTCATAGTTACTTTTTCATCACGGTCATAGCTGTTAATGGTCGCTAAACCAGGGCTACCTGTATAGGGAACAGTGCTCCAGTACCTTTGCTCCCAGCACAACAAAAGGAAGGTTCATTCAACTGAATGGACCATAGATGGGAAGCCTATACATTTTCCTCAGAATTACCTACTAGTGTACCTTATAGGGATTGCTCTGTTCATTAGGCATAACACACAATCATAAATTCTGAATGTGTATGCATAGAATCAAGTTTTTCAAAAGCAATTTTATCATGCTGACTGGGGGGGGACATTAATAGATAGTTTTACTTTATGGGAAATGTGCACCCATTCACAGTAAACATGAACACTTTTGCACCTACAAATGAGGAACCATTTGATTAAGAAACAGCAACGTGAAAAAGTATCAAAAAATAAGCAGCACTTTTTGGAGAGTGTGTAGGAAAGACTGAGGAATGCCCCCCTTTGAAAAATTCTAGACTGTATAATAGACAAAGGATAAACCTGGTAAAAAATTTAGGAGAAAAAACTTTTCCCAACAATATCAAAGCTTCCAGAAAGGCTAATTTCACATACTGTCTGTGGATTCAGACAGTACTAAGTTGTGGTTTGCTTTAACTGTGGTTTGAACAACTAAAACTGGCTGAATTCAGACAGTATTCTAAACCATAAACCACAATTTACAAACTTCAGTGCCTGGCTTTGTACTTCATACTAAGCCACAATATGATTTAGTTCTGGCTCAGTGAAATGTGTGAAGCAGTCCTTTACTGTAAAACATTTCATTATCAATTTGAGGATATTTCTAGAACTGAAAGCATCCTTTGTTTGAGAGATCAGTAACTGGTATCCCATGGATGTTAAAGCGATTCCATCTGGTCAACTACATTTTAGCCTTGCATATTATACAAACTCAGCAAATTTGGTTAATTGGTTAAATCATGGTTAAATTAACCATAGGTAAGGATGTTACACAAAGACAGCTTACCTGATTCTTCAATGTATCCACCTAAGAACCAAGTTGTCTGCATGGAGAAAATAATGTCTGGGGCCCCAGAATGTATTTGTAAGCATTTTTCTGGGAGTGAAATTTAACTTCACCAGTTACCCACTTCCTTCTCCAAGTTAGGCATCTAGCAAAATTATTTGCTGACCATGGTAGTAGATTTAAAGGCAGGCGCACTTGAGCAGAATAAAGAGGAAGTAGGCATCTTGAAAGAGACAGCTGGATAAACAAATATTAGAAAGAATATAAATTGCCTGCTTAACTGGGATTGTAGAACTCAGTTTTCAAACAATGCTGGAATTTATCCCATTCTGACAAGTTGCTAAGCTTTCCTTTTAACAATGGTTGCATATGTACCTTTCATTTCGTTAGAGCAACCACATTTGCTTATAGAAAATTAGTCCTATAAAATATTTGTTTACATTGTTCATAGACATGACTTTATATGTAAAAGCTGTAATTTTCATTGTATTAAGGCAATTACAGGTCTATTTTAATCCAATTACTTCTGCAGTGGTTCTCAGTAATATGTCTAAATAATAACTACACAGTCTCGCTAACTGGTCTTCAGTAAGTTGGATATCCCAATTAATTGGATAATATTTCTTGATCAGTAGGTCACTGTAAGTACAACTCACTCCCCAAACCCACCTTCACCACACATCCAAACAGGAGATAATAACTATAATTTAATATAGGAACTAGTGAGAGGAAACAGAAAAGAGCAGTAAATCATGGAAAAGCCAATTTAGGCTCATTTTAGTAACCAACGTTGTTACTAAACAAACACTTTCCATAAAAAAATTAATATATTTTCCGTAGGATAAGCTATTAGGGGCAATGTGCAAATAAATTTTAGCTAATAAAACCTACACTATAATAAATGCAATGGCTTAGGTCTCAAGGTGCCAATGATTTTGTTATTTAAATTAGAGTATACAGCTAGCTATATCTAATTCCAGCATAACCACTTGCACCCAGCAAATCAGCTATATTTTTTAGATTAAGCTCAGTTATAATGAGAACAGTCATTAAACAGAGGATCATCAAATGTCAAGAAAGAATAATTTGGCCTATCTGTGTATATTTAACAGCATTTTGATCTGCAAAAATAATGTAAAATACTTTTGTTTACACAAGACATTTCCCCATGGCTTATTGAATTCATTCAGTTTTCTGAATTTACAACACACTGTACTATAAACTAACTACACTGGGTGATTTACATTATATGCTCCATACCTGCCACACTATTTCACTTTGGGATAAGCATCACTAAGTGAAGCACAGAAAAGAAGCAAGAAATAGTCAGCAAAAATAGAAAAAAATAGCTAAAACTAATTAACGCCACTCAGTATTCCTCTGCATATCTTTCTATCCTTGCAATGCATTCTTCCTGCCACCAAACCCATACATCAATGCACACATTGACTTTTCTTCTTTAAACTTCTCTCTTTTTCAGGATCTCATCAACTCCATCCAACTGCAACTTTCATGGTCATTCTTGTTCTCTCAACCCATTCACTCCTCTTCATTTTGTTTGCTTCTTTAATTCAATCCTCATTGATTCCCTTTGGATGACCAACAACACAACTTCCTTCTTTCATAGTCGTAAAATCATGGTTGTATTAAATCCACATTCATTCATCAACCATTCATTCTTGACCCTCTGTCTTATTTTACTATGTATATAAACTTCTTATGTACCCCATTCTCCATTTGTACCCCGTTTTGGTTTGTAAACTGTGGCTTATGGTTTAGCATGTTGTAAAAATATACTTTAATCTAAAAATACTTTAATATTAATCTTA